TTTCTCCCACCCGGGTGTGCGCACCCACAGCGCGGCCCCTTGTTGGTCGCTGCGCCATTTTAATAGCCCCCCCGACCCGATTCCCCCCTTGGCATCTCTGGCACCCGAGTGTGTCGGGGTATCTCTGTCCCCATCCCGCCCTGACTTTTGCCCCTCTCCATCAGCCTGGAGAGAGTGACCAATCAGCGCTGGCCTGGGGTGGGATGCTCGTCACCATGGTGACGGCCGGGCGCCCTGGCAGAGCTGCCCATCACCGAGGGCCAGTCTCCTCTCCGCCTGGACCTGGGTGTGAAGGGGAGGTAACGATGGACAGGGGCTGGGGTGGGGGTGGGGGGTGAGACAGAGGTGGCACCTTATCCCCACTCCAACCTCATTGGGTTCAGCCCGGGTCAGGCAGGGGAGAGGGCATGCATGGTGTGGACAAAGCCTGAGCTGGTAGGGGAATGGATTCCCCGAGGTGGGACCCCCTCCATATTTCTCATGTGGGTGCAGAGGTCTGTCCTGGTCTACCTCTCACCCTCTCTCTCTTTAGGAGCTCCCAGAGCTCCCCCCACCCCCAATCACCTTGCCCTAAGTGCTGTGCTTTTGGGCAAGTGACTGTCCCTCTCCGAGTCTCAGCTTTCTCATCCATAAGATGGGCTGGTCTGCAGGCTCATCGTGGAAAGCACCCAAAACACAGTAGGTGCTCCTTCTCCATTAGCAAGGAGGGCGAGGCTATTGAGGACAGAACTTGGGGGGGGTCCCTTCTTTCTGGGGAAGCCCAGTTTGGGTGTCTCGTGGTTTCCCAGAGCCAGCTTTTTAAATATATATATTTTTATTGATTTCAGAGAGGTAGGGAGAGGGAGAGAGAGAGATAGAAACATCAATGATGAGAGAGAATCATTGATCTGCTGTCTCCTACTAGGGATCGAGCCCACAACCTGGGCATGTGCCCTTGACCGGAACCCGAGACCCCTCTGTCCAAACTGGCTAGGGCTAGAGCCAGCTTTTCATCTCTCCTCCAAACAGCTGGGAATCAGAGAGTTGGGGAGGGTTTTTAAAAAACAGAGCCAGGGCGGGGGCTGTGGCTGGAGCAAAACCTTGGTCAGTGGCTCTGAGAATGGGCCACCGCAGCTCCTACGGAGCCAGGCCCTTCCTGCCAGCCCCGGCCAGCTTAAGCGCCACTTTAAGTGGTCCGGGCATTCACTGGCCGGCCCCTCGCCCGTAATTGAGCCGCAGGGGTTTGAAAAGAGGGCCAGGGCCTCAATGACAGGACCTTGGGCCAGGCTAATTGGTTTTGGTTCAAGGGGATACTGGATTTGTGAAAAGCTCCAAACTGCCTTTCCCACGCCAGAGGCAGGTCAGGGCTCTAAGGAGACGGGTTCAAGGAGATGGGGACCAGGAGAGAGAGCTGGGAGCCAGGCGCCTGCGGCTGAGGCTCTCGCACCACCGGCCAAGGTTTCCCTCTGCTGGGAGCGTGGGAAGTCACTGTAAGGGACCTCCGGGGTGCAGGCAGGTTCTACCAACCTTCTCATACGCTTGAGGCCCTGCCAAGAAACGGGCCACCTCCTCTGAGCCCCTGGCATCTCTTAGCTGGGGAGATGTGGAATCGTCGAGTAAGAGGAACCAAGCAACTGCTGTGTAGTTCATCGTCCTGCCCGGGCAGCTGGACCCAACCTGGGCTTTTATTTTATTTTAAATAGATTTTTATTGATTTCCGAGAGGAAGGGGGAGGGAGAGAGAGAGAGAGAAACATCAATGATGAGAGAGAATCATTGATCCAGGAATGTGCCCTGACTGGGAATCAAACCCGGGACCCTTCAGTCCACAGGTAGACACTCTAGCCACTGAGCCAAACCGGCTAGGGTCACACCTAGGCTTTTAGGCTCTGGGAAAATCCTGGACTCTATCCTGAGGCGGGAAGTGCAGCTGGTCTCAGGATCACCCACTTCTGTCCCTTGAAATGGCCCCAAAACGCCGTGGGCAAGGGCAGACCAGGTGGAGATGAGAAAGGGAGACGTGTGGTACTTAAAGAAAAAGATAACGTGCCATCTATTTCTTTACATTCAGAAAGTAAGCACTAATTGTATGACAGCTGAACTCTGTCCTTACTGTAGGTAATCTGAATGTCCATGCTTTGGAATATATAACTTCAGGTACACAGATAACTATGTGTTTGGGCCAAAATGATGACACATTTGTATATATTGGGCGTCCCCCCAAAATGTGTACGCACTTTACAGCTGATAGCTCAGTGGATGTTTCTTCCTTTTCCCATTTAGCCCATTGGAATGAATGATTATTCAAAGTGTCTATGCCTTCTGGGGGACACCTGGGTCAGGCAGGTGATATACCCCTTCTTGTATATATTTGATTTACATACCGAATCGTCCCCTTATGTGACAATCAGTTTATGTTAAGGGTGGCGCCAGGGTGGGGTGGGAGCTAGAACAATATCCATCCCATTAACAATGACATTGACTGAGACCTGGGTTTGATGGCTCATTGTGTGTTGAAGGGAGCATCCTAAAGGGAGCATCCTCACCAGCTTAAAAACAAACAAACAGAAAAACCCCAAAATCCCTACCCTTTTGGTTACCATCCAAATGTTTGCCATGTTGGCCCCTTGAGGCACCTGGTAAGTGGGAGAAAGGTCCTGGGACGAGAGGGAGAACTTTGTGCATCATGTCTTCCCATTTTGATTTCAGTTTTTAATTGCCCGGAGCCCCGTTTCTGTGGGCCTCTGCTCATTTGCACACTGGAGATTCATGTGTAAACAGGCATGTGGCGTGTGCGCACGCCTGGGCCTCCTGGTCGCCGAGTGTGCCCTCCCGGCGTTTAAACACACACATCCACACATTACGGGCTTGCATATTTGCCTCCTTTCTAGAACCCGGTTAATTCCCCCTTCGCTAATCCTCACACCCACTCCCTTCTCCACCCCCCATCCCCACAGACAAAAAAAGAATCTCCAGGCCTGACTGACCAGTGGTCTCAGCCTCCTTCTCTGGCTGGCAGCTCTCCAGGCCCCGGCTGGAGTGAGGGCTCTTATTAGGCAGACCTCATCAATATCCCCAACGACACCCCAGCACCTCTACTAGGAACTATTAGCATCGAGAATTAACATGAGCCCTGGCCGGTTTGGCTCAGTGGATAGATCTTCGGCCTGCAGACCGAAGGGTCCCAGGTTTGATTCCGGTCAAGGGCACATGCCCGGGTTTCGGGCTTGGTCCAACACGCAGGGGGCAGCTGATCAATGATTCCCTGTCATCATTGATGTTTCTATCTCTCCCTCCCTCCCTGAAATCAATA